TGAAATTAAAATTTTATTCATACAAGCGAACTATAAAGGAAAGAATTCCGGATTTGACGCAAGTAAATATTTCGCGATTATAACAAATGCATCCAAGCAGAACGAAATCACAATAACAATAACAATAATTTTTGTAATCTGTTAAAGAAAGAGAGCGTACGACATTATTCTCTTCCTCATTTCGTTTTCTATTGGACAAAATCGTCTCCTTTTTCCTACGCATATATAATGTTTCGATTTGTATTTACTACATTTTACGTACCTTTGTCTATCATATAAGTGAATTAAACATATATACATAGATATATATAGATAGAAATGCATGGAGAGCGAGAAAGAGAGAGAGGCAAATTTGCACGTGTTTATATACGTGCTATGTATGTACTGTTTCCTGAATACGCGTCACGTAATTAATTATATTTGTGCACGTGCTGAAGCAAATCTAAAGTAATAACGCAGCCATAGGTAATAAAAATGATATATACTAGAAAAAGAAGAAAAAAGAAGCAATGGAAGATTGAGCTTAAAAAGCGAATACTCGAAAGAAAAAAATTATCTAAATCTTGATAATTTACTTTAATTGTATTATGCTTTTATTATCATACGTTTCTTAACGTTATTCGATAATTAATAATTTTAAGGTGTGCCTAAATTCGCGGCTTGATGTAACGTCCGATTGTAATATATTAGATTATCGATCATTTTAAAGGAGGGAATGTCGTCATAGCACGTGCATATCGAGTGAAGATCAAATGAAACCGCTCTCGTTCGTAACAATTGTTATTATGTATTATAGAGACATAAGAACGTATATTCTTATGTACGTACATGTCCTCTTAAAATCAACTCATAAAAATTTGTTTGATGTTATCTATATTACACACGTTTCTATTAGTATCAAATGGAAGAAGACGCAATTATATATCTTCCCTATATTATTTATTTTGTCTTTTTTAAATTTAAATAATTTTCTTGTTTATTTGATTAATGACTTTACGGATTAGCGAATATTATGCCATGCCTGTACGAAATATTGAGAGCAAAAACAATGTATGTACATAAAATATAAACGAGTAATTTTTCGCGCAAACGATCGCGTATCAAAACAATAGCGATCGATATTCGAAAAAGATATAGATCCATCGATCATCGTGGACTGTGACGCGCCAATCGAATTAGTTGCGATGCGATAACTGGTATCGCACTTTTATAAACGGAAGAACAGGGAACGACAAAGAGAAGTCGATCAGTTTATCAAGTTTTTTCGTTTTAGCTATACATTTTATCCCACTTTTAAAATGATCTCGTTCAGCTTCAAGGAGATGTAACGAGAGGTGTAATTGTAAGAGACAGATTTATCCATTTTCAGTCAGACAGGCTCGTGATCAAGAGATACTTGGACATGAACTATGTATATGGAATTCAGAAGTTCTTAAAATCTTTGTCGAACTTTCACTCTCGTAGATTTTTCTTAATCTTCACATTGGAGAAAATCCTTCCATTGTGTGGCCGATATTTATAGTCGATTCTTATATTTGAAACAGTCTTAAATATAGTCTTAAGACGTCATAAGCCAATCGCAAGCCGGTATATTCATAGTCGATTCTTACATTTAAGACTGTTTTAAGTATAGTCTTAAAATTATAAGTCAATCGGAGTTGTATTAGTGTGTGTGTGTATCTTAAGATATTACTTAAGACAGTTTTAAAATAAGAACAGACTATGAATACTAGCCAGAATGTATTAGCATCTTAAGACACTATATTTAAGACTTAAAAAAATACAGACGATGAATACCGGCTATTGTCTCGAATCATCTATTTCGCTGTAATTATACATAAATGTATCATAAATCGAAATTCTAATATAAGTACGTATAATAAAATATCTGACAAAAGGCGTTGATTTTTTTTTAATAATTTATAATTTGTTCACGATTTGATTCAGCTGTTGAATGATTAAAATTAAGTGCGGAGATTGAGATATAATTTTGGCGAAAAATTTCGATTTCTGATTAAAAGGAATTTTTAACAGATTTATTGTTCTTAAAAATATAAAAAAAAATTTTTGAAAATCTTAAATTCAGAAAAATTATTCCGATTCCAATATTGATTATTATCCATTGCAGTTAAGAGTTTCAATTTCTGATTAATTCAAATAGTGTTTCACGAGCCGTAGTCAAAATGCAAAAAAGAAAGCGAAAAAGCGAGATGCATAATAAAAGAAGAAACTTAGAAACTACACGAAAATCGCATATTAAATGTATAAATAATAGAAAGGAAAAAGAAAAATGTTGAAAATACCCTAAGCAGTTACTCTGATCTCCTAAGAGAAATTCTAAATAAAAATTCGACATTGCTAAAGAAACGGCAATGACATATAAAGGAATAAAAAGAAAACAAAAATTGGACAAAACCTTACCAGAACAAATCTTTTTCTCCAATAAAAAACAAGAGAAAACATCGTGACAAACGTTCTAGTTACATCACATAAGGTACTTATGTTGATTAGATGATGTTGATTAGAACTTGTACATTTTGTCGCATTCATGCAGAACACATCATCTTTTACCTGGCGCTTGCGACTCGATTTTTAGATTAATGACGCCAAATGAAATTTAATTTAGAAGAAAGTGAATTGATCAAGCTATTTCTCGAAGAAAAAGCTTAAATAATTAGCAGACGACGGAAATAATTTGCCGTAATCAACACCGAATTCTAGGTTGCCGATTAAAGTGGCGAATTTATTCTTTGCCGTAGAGAGAATCTGTGAGTTTTTTCTTTGCAACTTTGAAGAAGAGAAGAATCTTAAGAAGTATTGAGCGACATTTCGCTATGGACTCACACCTATTGAGAGTAATATATCGTCGTAATCGTGCGAATTATAGCAGTTGAGGGAATTCTTCGAGAATTTTTATCTAACTTTTCGATCGACGACGCTAATAAGCGAACGTATTGTATACAAATGAATGCGCAAAAATGTGAGAAAGTGTGAATGAGTGAGAGAAAGGGAAAAGACAGGATGCATTGATAAATCGGGGAATCGTTGCGCATTGGCGCGACATTCTCTGAAATAGCGGGAAGCTATATTATTGATGAGCATTACTGCTAATTGTAAGTACCAATAGAGAAAAAAATCCAAATGAAGTCTTATACATAATGATTATCGAATTGTAAATTGTATTTGATTGTGTATCTTGTGTTATATGAATATAATGACGCTGAATATAATTAAAATTTAATCAAAGACTAGTATCTCTTGACTAACCTTTCCTCCCGGTAAAAAATTTTTCATGCATAAATATGTATAATTATGTATGAATATACATAAATATACATAAACATAGCATAAATATTATATATATTATATATAAATATAGCATAAATATTCATAAAAATGTATAACTATATATGAAATATGTCCATACATGTCCATACATCCTTCTTTCTTTTGTAAAATTACTTTTTAATAGAAATAATAATAATATAAAAGCATTAAAAATAATTAAAGGAATAATTTTCGTATTGTTTTAAAAAAAAATCAAGTTTGGAAAAATATAAAAAAAATTGCTCATACATAATTATACATAATTTTATAAATAATTATACATAAATAATTTATTTACATTTTTTTAAAATTGATTTTTTCTAAAATAATATAGTTGCGAAAATTTCTTTTTTAATTATTTTTAATGTTTTTACATTACTATTATCATTTCTATTATACTAAAAAAGTAATTTTACAAAATAAAAGAAGAATGTATGAACATGTATGGACATATTTCATATATAGTTATACATGTTTATGAATATTTATGTGTGTTATATATATGTTTATACATATTTATACATATTTATGCATGAAAAATTTTTTACCGGGCGAGACACTTCAAATTTCTGCTTCACTATTATTTCATTGATCATTAATTATTTTAAGCTCGTTTCATGCGATTTAAAATTTGCATGAAAAGATAATAAAGTATGCGTCAAACTTTAGCTGGTGCTTTTAAATATATTAAATCATTACTGCATATATTTTGGATGTACACTTATTGCATATATATAATCGGTGGTTAATTGCATAACGTATGCATATTTCACAACTAATTATTAAGTGTAGATTGTTATGAGCATCGACGAGATACTATTTAAAAACTAATATCTTTATGGAAACTTGCGTGTTAAAATTAGTGACAGAGTAAAAAATCAGTAATATCCCGAGAAAAAAATGTTTCATATATAATTATATAAAAAATTAATGTATTTTATATACAAATATATATAATTAGATATAAAATGTGCTTATTTATATAATATTTTTTCCCAGGATAATACTAAATTTATACTAGTAATTTCATAGACATGATAAAACTTAATAATACTTACAATTTTATTAAAAATTGTGATTTTAATAATTATTGTTCGAGTTTGATTGTCAATATGGAAAAAAAATTTTAATTATATAGCAATATGTAAAAAATTATAACATTACAAGTATGTATATACTAGCTTATTTTATGGAGCATTTATATTAATAGAAAATGTTAATAATAAAAAATGTATATCAGTAGTCGATAATGTCAGTGTTCTTCAATTACCTCGAGTCCTCGAAACTCTTTTTGTGAAGAAGAAAATTTGTCCAGGGTTGAATTGATAGACTTGGTAGTGGAACTGATGGAGACACAACTGAAATGGTTTTAAAAGTAACCGTTTCCGCAATTCAGTGAACATTTGCATCAATTCGTTACACTGCAATAAAGAACAGTCAACAATGTTAACGACTGTTCTTTATTACAGTTATCTTATTACACCATAATACTCTCATGTCCCCCATACACGCCACAGTACATTCAGATAAAAAATGATTTGAGATGATGTTAGATAACTTTAGATACATGGCGCACATGACACGAGGTTTGTTTTATGATAAAAATGATACTTAATGCAGAGAGGACATTGGGGACGCACAATAACACGTCGCACAAGTCAATATAAATATAATTTTATTTGATTTTATCTTTCTGGATATTCGAATAAGTAATAAAGGTAAAGACAATAATAATAAAGATTTGGTAACACAAATCGACATGTGCGTCAATTTGTGTTATCAAATAGAAAATTCAGTGTCGCAGACGTTGCTGTATATACACTTCTTGAACTAGTACCACGTGGAACCAGTGCAGGAACAGAAAAAAACTTGATCGTATGATCCGTTCGCTTGTTCGAATTGTCAGATCGCTGCACAGTTCTTCAGGAAAACTGAGAATGGATCCGCTCGAGAACGCTAAGAAAAGTGCGGCTTACAAAGCTGTTAACGAATACGTCCATGTAAGTTGATTTACTTTAGTAACTGTGCGATTGATCGTACAGCTTTCCTCTTGAAGGTTATACATTCCGGCATATTGTCTTTCAGAATAATAGTGCCATCGGGATTGGGAGCGGATCCACTATAATTTACGCTGTTCAGAGACTTGGTATAATTATATTTAATACTTTACATTTTATAATTGAAAATTTTATATTTTATCTTTGATCATTATTATATTATTATACAATTATTTTCAATGAAATAAATTTTCATAATTCAAGTAATACAATTAATCAGTCAGTTATTTTAGCACTGACTTAATATTTTCATTTTTTTTTTAATGAGATTACAAGCCATTTCTATTGCACTGTTGTTATTGGATTTTTTAAATAAATGTGTGTCTATTAAAAGAACATATATATAGAAAAAGTTTAAAACACTTTTTGCAATACATAAATTTGATTGTGCAACATTGCTGATGGGAAATTGTTTCCTTTATCTTTAATATTTTTAATGTTTTAAAAAATGTTTTATATAGTATATTTTATGTATTATTTTTTAAATTATTTTAATAAGATGTATATATATAGAGCCAAATTTTAAGATTTAATCTTCTTGCTATTTACAAGAATGCTGTCTCTTATAAGTTTTATTTTTAGCTGAACGTGTTGTAGAAGAAGAACTCAATATAATTTGTGTGCCTACATCGTTTCAATCTCGTCAACTTATATTAGATAATCATCTTACCTTAGGCGATCTAGAAACTCATCTATATGTAATTTTTAAATATTCTTTCTCTATATTATATATTTCTTATTATATATTTTTATTAACTACTTAATATGGGTGTAGCTATATTCTGCAATTGATGGAGCAGATGAAGTCGATAAAGACCTGAATCTCATTAAAGGTGGTGGAGGATGTTTATTACAAGAAAAAGTTGTTGCTTCCTGTACCAATCGATTTGTTGTTGTAGCAGATTATACGTAAGTATTATTTCATTTAATAATATTGATCTTGTTATAATATATTAATTTTATGTTATCATATATTAACAACAAAACTTATGATACAAAGATTATACAATTTATTTTTTTTTATTACGTTTTTTTTATATTTCAGAAAAAATTCAGTAAAGCTTGGCGAGAATTATAAAAATGGAATTCCTATTGAAGTAGTTCCTATGGCATATGTGCCAGTTAAACGTAAAATTGAAGATACTTATGGAGGAAATGCGAAAATTAGAATGGCCATCGCTAAAGCTGTAAATATATTTTCATTATTTAAATTCTCTAGATTACTATCACACAAATCAAAAGTAATACACATAATTTATGTTACTTGTGCAGGGCCCGGTAGTAACAGATAATGGTAATTTTATTCTGGATTGGTATTTTCCTGATGTTGATCCAGATACTTGGAAAATGATTAACATGGGACTATCCTCTATACCTGGAATTGTAGAAACTGGTCTATTTACAGATATGGTTGAGACAGTTTTTTTTGGTATGCCAGATGGCACTGTACAGGAACGAAGCATATACGACTGTGACTGAAACTTATTTGGTTAAAATGTTGAATGCATGTTAACGCGCGAATTTTACAATATTACATTTTATTCTCAATTTCAATAACATTCTGATAACGCTGTTAAATCATTATTCTTGATAACCTTTTATTGCTATCTTGCCTTTGTCCTATATGCGTCATTCCAATTGCGTTATCATTATTTTTTTATATACTTTATACATTTTTGTTTATGCTTCTGTCTGTTATGTGTGCAATTTGTACATATCAGGTCTTATGTTTCCTTTGTTATCATTAAACTTGTCATTAGGTTCAGTTAAAGTGTATTTCATATTTTAGGAATAAATTACTTCTAAAAATATATTTTGTAATAAATAGTAAGAAAATGTTTACATGTGATATATATCAATACATAACGTTATCTTGAAATATGCACAGAGTTATACAGATATAAGTTTGAAATATATATATTTTTATACAATATTTGTATTTAATTTCACACATATATTTATTTATAAATAAAGAAGCGAATAACACACTAAGTTTGCATAAATAATAACCACACACAAAAAATTTTATTTAGATGTTATATTATTTTAAATAATATTATTTATGTAAATATATCATTTTTTAAACACTAATATTGAAAAAAGAATAAAAAATACATCAACTTATGTTTAATTTAAATTTATACAATAAAAAAAATTATAAGTTTAGAAAAAAGTTTTAATGTAATTGTATTTAATTATTGTTAATACTTAATTTGTATGATTAAAAAATTTCATTGTACTGCAAAAAGTATTCGCCCGAACAGGGACTCGAACCCTGGACCCTCAGATTAAAAGTCTGATGCTCTACCGACTGAGCTATCCGGGCGATTGAGAAATATATGGGTAAATATTGTACTGTATCGCACCCAATTGAACATTTATGTATATGTATGTGTGTGTGTATTATGGAAAATTTGATTAATTCGGGCATTATACATAAAATGGCCGACCAATTACATCTAATTTTCTCTAACATGTATGATATACATATATTGTACATTTTAGAATGTAATAATTAATATTGGATAAATATATTGTATATATAATGACATTTATTAATAAAACACATTAAAAAATTTAATAATTTATAATAAATATACATATATAATGGATAATATGAGTTCTGTTTGTGTCTCAAAATTGAAAAAAATTGGTAATTTTATAAAAAAAAGATTAATTATTTATTTTTTAAATCAGCAATACTACTAAAATTCTAGAATTTTTATTCATATTATCATTTTTTAGTGTGACAACTGAGAAAGGAATATCCTAAATTTTTAAATATTACATGTTAATGTACATATTAAAGTTATTATTATGTTATTTTTATTTAAAGAAAACTTAAATAAAGACTTATTTAAGCAACTATGTCTCAACAAACACTTTCGAAAATCAAGTATGAAATGTTTTCATATAAATTCTGAACTACTATAAACGTACCTATAATATTTTCTTTTATATGGGAAAGATAGCTATGTGATAGAGACAACTATATAGTTATTTTGCATATATAAGACGCATCTCTTATTCATAAGTGAACTATCACCCAGTAGCTATAAGCACTGATTTACTATCTCACGACGTTAATTTAATAGCGTTTATATCTGTCGTAAAATTAAAAAGGGTCTTCATTTATATAGACTGGTGATTTTATCACATCATTTATCATTCGGCGTTTAATCATAATAATTATATACTCATCTTTCGATGGCAGAAGTGTTTTTTGATAATCTAGAATTAATAGAATTAATATTTCTAGATAATCTAGAAATAAGAAATATTTATTAATATATCTTTTTATTATCTTAATTATTCGGTTACGTTTATGAAAATTCGGAAGAGGCAACTCTCAAGACAGTTGTTTTATACAATAGTAAAAAGAGGCTCTTTTTAAATATATCTGCAATCAATATATACATACGTAGAGATATAGTAAATTTTACTTGGAGGCTGCAAATAAATGCAAAAAATTCGATTGTTTACTTTTACTTTTTACGTATTAATTGTGAATAAATTTTAATAATATCTCTTATTAAACATATTTATTATTGCTCGATTTGGATCAATATTCTTTTTATTTCTTGCTTTGTGCAAATTTACAAACGATGTGATCATAATATAATTATTTATAACATGTATGTATACAATAAGACGTTATATAATTACTAATTGATTTTTTAGTTATTAAAATCGTAATTACCCAACATTTTTTAATTCAATAAGTGACAAAACACTTCTAAAAAATTGCCTTATTAGAAATGATTAAAATCAGGAAATAAATTTTTTGTTATTTCATCAGTTCCTGTAAAAAATTTCAGCACCTTTGTTTGAAATAGTGTAGGTTTTTTATATTTTACTAAAATACATAAATAATTGTATTTTTTTCAAATGCATTAATTTTTTTGATAATTTTATCGAAAATTTTGTCGGCGGTGAATGTGTTAAAAAAGGAAAAGAGAAAAGAAAAGTGACCAACCACTAGCCAACCAGGTTGAACGATTTAATCGTAACGCAGCGGGTTCTGATGTGAGAATGGTGTAAGTACTTAACTCCTGTGTTTCTTTCTATGATTTTTATACGGAGACTCTTATCGGCCAACCCGCTATACTTTGTTTTCTGGCATCGATTTAATCGACATTAATCATTACCTATATAGCTTCGATACCTTTCGACTTCTCTTTGCATAGTCAGACTGTCGTTTGTTGTATGTAAGTACGCGATAAATAATGTCCACATGGAGCGCTAGAAGCAGGTATTTACGTTATCTCATATCTTTCACGCATGCAGTTAAAAAAACGAAGCATTTGTTTTTATTGTTTGTTATACTATTGCGTATCAAATGTGTCTTTTATCTTTGCACTTACGACTGTTTGCAAAATGTTTTGTTTGCACAATTTCTTATGGTAATTGTTCAAATTTGTCTGAATAAAACACATCTAATTATAAGATTAAAAATTAACGCTACAATTGTATTTAAATTTATGCTTAGAAAACTTAATATGTGATCTGCATTACAATATATTGTCAGAATAGATACAATGTTGATTTGAGTAAAATTTTATACTTGCATTAATACAAATTTTGTGCAAAGCATAGAAATTAAATGTCTATTGAGTGTTGACTAAATCAAAGATAGAAAATAATTTCAGGAAGAACAATTTCTCGACAATATAGAATTTTGTATGAAGCAATGCGACTTTAAAATAATGACCTTTAAAATAATGATTTCAAAAATATTAGAGAATATTTTTTGAAATAGATATTTCCTTCCCACGTACTGATCTCGACGATCTATAGGTATACATGTGAATTTTTATTTCGTGCGTATATGATACTTTCAAAGTGTAATAAAAATTTTTACGAACTACAATTTTTACGTAAAAACATATCAATTAAATCATAGTATTGCAACAGATTTGAAAATATCGCATATTGAATTGGTTTTAAATCTGTAACCAGTTAGCACAATATTGTAACGAAGTGCGAGAACGAGAATTCTCTCGCGAGCGGTACGCAATAAACTAGGGATGCGTTGTTACGTCAATCTGCCATTCAGACCTCACCGTTAAATCCTGTGACCTATGACAACTTATGATCCGTGGATCTTAAGGGACAACATGAGTTATTAAACCTGAGACCATAAGATGCATATTCCGCCAACAGTCACGGAATCGGAGTACGACTATAATCTATTAGGGGACAGTTACGCAAAAGTTGAAGCGTTTATACAAACGTACTTCTTGACGAAGAAACAACTTAATATCCTCCAGAAATAAATTTCATTGCCTGTTATAATTTTGTTTATACATGTGAGAAAGTATTTTAAAAATATTCTAGACAAGAATATGATGGCTAATAATTAAATAGCTGAAGATTTAATTCAATTTTTATGATTTAATTCAAATATCTTAAAGTTAAAAAAGATTCAATTTGCTTGTATTAAGTTTGAAGTGTCGTGTCAATAGATATAATGACAGGGAACGAGGGAGAGAGAGAGAGAGAGAGAGAGAGAGAGAGAGAGAGAGAGAGAGAGAGAGAGAGAAAGCCAGTTATATATTATGATAATTTTAAAACTATTTTTATTTTGATACAATGTATTAATAAAAAATGAAAAAAATCAGCTTGTCATATTAAATGTCCAAAAAAATATAATTTAATAATATAATTTAATAATAGTCCAAAACCGAGCATAATATGATGTATTATAATGCAACAAAAAGTTATAATTACATATTGTAAGCAGAATAAATTTTGACTTAACTCACAGTCATTATCAGCTGCTATGTATGCATCGCAGTCAAATATTATAAACTCAGAGATTGTCAATTATGGTCCATAACATAATATAATAATTATAGACGCCAATTTTACGGTGGTGAATATAATATATAAAATTTTTAGTCCTTTTCTCTGTCCATGATTTTTTATGTTGAACATCTTGTTAATCGCATGAGTAAATAATTATTTTAAAAATCCCATCAACGTTATAAATAAAATAAACACTCTAATGAACAAATTGATATAAGAAAAAGAATCGAAAAACTTACAATTAATATATAACGATCAACGTAATAAAATTCAAACTTTACGAGTATATCGCTATTGTCAGACTGAAAGTCTCAAAGAGAAACGAGAAAACACGTACAGAATAAGACAGTGTAAAATAAACATTATAGATCACACAAATATCAATAAAAATTATTGTTAGAGATTCTCTTGACTAAATTAAAATAAGAATTATCTAACATAGCGATAGTGTCATTATTTAAATTAATGTTATTAGTTTAAGATTTAATGTGAATTATTTCTAAAATTAGTCATTTATAATAATTGTAGTTCTCTGATAATAGCGGCTAATGAAGATCGTGAGATCGAAACCTGTTTTGTTGAAACGATATGTAAAATTATTATAATCTTTTACTGCAATATAATATTTCTTTATGCACACTTGATAGTTTGGTGTATCTTATTATTAAATTATATTTTTATGGTTATTAATAAATTACGTATTTATTCATCTTTTATCTTTTAATTAAAAGTG